TGCCATCTTGTCTTTTTTTGGGTTGCAATATTTACACATTCCTTTTCTCTACTATACACCCTTACACACCCTCTGAGCTCCCTCTTCATGTTCACCCATTACATCTAGGAACAACATCTAGGAATGCTACAACTCCATTTGTCATCATGAAAAATTACTGAACTGGAAAATTACTGAACCCAAATAAAATAGATATTGTAAAAGAATAATTTAATACCAAGAAAACCAACTGTGCTTCACTAGGTATGTGTGTTTTTAGTACACAGTCAAAAGTAGAGACGAGATTATCTGCCAGCATGTGAGTTCAGAACTATGATCCATAAGTCTTAGAAAAAGCAAATAGCAAATATATTGTAACTGGGATAAAGTCTCATCATGGTACTAAGCTATATTTTCACAGTTTTGAAAAGGGGAAATTAAAGGGACGTGATTTTCTACTTTCTTGCTTGGCTTTTGCACTTGCTACAAACATCAAGGAAGTCTCATCTGCAAGGATTTATGGCGGATTCATTAAATCTACCAGCTGTGATAGGCACTAGATTATGACCATCATTCGTATTTTGGCAAATCCCCTGTAGGAATTTCTGAACTGCAGTTTGTATGAACCCCACAAACACTGAGAAGAGACCATTCGACTAGGAAAGTGATTTAAAATATACGCAATTTTTAAAATAATATTTTTTCCTCTTTACCCTGGGTATTCAGCTCCCGCAACAGTCCCAAGCTTCTAGATATTGCACCAAAGATAAACCACAGCTTGCAGCATAAACACAATCATTTATCATAACTCCTGAGGCTTGCAAAAGTGGCTCTTTAAAACAAGAGATTTAAAACACACTATAAAAATAAAACTAAAAAGTTCTTCTCAGGGTTAGAAAGCTTAGCTTTCTTTTAACAACACTTGTTTAAAACTTCTTGCTTTACTAGTTTCTCCTACAAGTGCCAGCGGTAAATACAAACGTTATGTTCGTTTTCACTTTCTCTTTACTTTGCAAGGCCTTTTCCTGTGCTGCTGCTTTATTTATTTCATTTTTTAAATTTTCATTCTAAGTTTTCAAACAATTTCTCAAAGCTGTGGAAAGCAGACACAATGGTCCCATCAGGAGAATAAGAAGAAAGTTTAAATGGTGCTGGACTCAGGCCCACACACACAGCGCCTGATGTTTTAACTACAAGTCATTGAACAGTATGAGTTTATGAAAGCAAGCCAAATTCATATTACTGGCTCACATTTCAAACACAATTCAAATTTCTCTTTGATTCTATAGTAAGGTAAAAGCCTGTGGGATTTACTTGCTCAGGGAGATGATAAAAACTGAATGATAACAGTATTAAGATGGAGTCTTACTCTTCAGTGTTAATCTGGTGACTATTCTTTCGAGCACTGTGCAGGTTATAGTGTCTGATTTTACAGTATACTGGAAATATGCTACAGAGACAAATGATCTACTAAGGTTTCTCCAATCTTATCAGGAAACAGAATGTTATTTAACTAAGGCCCTGTCCATACTATGGTTGAAACTGTGCTACCTACCACCATATTTAAATACCATTGTTGCTGGCAAGCCCTAGTACTGTTGACTTGATTAGCATGGACTGGGAATTTTTTCTGAGGACTTTTCTTGAAACAAAAGCAATGCAAAGCATTTGGAAACCGGAATGCCCCTTGCCTGGGGAATCTCAGGATAGCAGAGATTAGCAGGCTCTGTGTCTTCCCCACTCCCAGTCCTGATGTAGGGGGCATACTGGGAACATTTCTGGGGAGGGGTGTGGTCATGACATCATAAACTTCAGCAAGTCCCAACTGTTGAAATCCCTTTGAGGATCATCACTGAAGTGTGGCATAATTTATAGCATCCCTCAATCTGACTTTTGTAGTTCCAGGAATCATTGGGGAATGCAAAGATAGCTTGCCTTCTTCTCTGTGCAGTTCCACTGAGAAGACCACTGATGCAGCTAAGGACCTAAACCTGCTTCTCTAGGTATAGTATACAATGGAGTTATAACATGACTGTAACATGCTCTTCAGAGGCAAAATATACCCTTGGTAAGAGAAAATCATGCTTACAAATTGTTGCTGGTATGAACTCAACATAAACAGAAAGAGAGGCACCTAATAATAATACTCTTTTCTTCTCTAACTGTTGCCTTCTATCAGAGTGTCTCAAAGCACTTTACAAAATCCCCCTCACTCATTTTTAAACTTGTGTAGTCAAGAAAAAATATAGCATATACATATTTAGTTATGCAGAAATTGTGATCATAGAACTTATTTCACTGAGAAGTTGGATGTGATGCTTAAATCTTTATCAGAACATATCTGAATTCTGCAACAACTTTTCACTCACATTACAACAATACACCAAATGAAACAAGCTTTTCTCACATGCTTGTAAATTTACTTCATGAAATATTACAAACCTAGATCAAGTTCCCTAATCTTTGGGTGGTATTTCTTATACAAAACTAAATTTTGCAAATGAACCCTATCTTTATAATGAGCCAAACCAAAACCTCAGGTCCAATTATCTCCAAATTTAAAGTTGTTTGAAATCTCCATCTGGACTTCTGCTACTATGGCCTATCTCTAGTTTAAACTAGAGTAGTACTAAGATATTTTCTGAAATTTCTCGAGGAACCAAGTGAAGACACCTTCCAAAGATTAAGAGTGAGACAGAAAAGGAGATGCATTTTGATCAATATTTTCCTATTATCCTAGAAGCCTAACTTGGCATGGAAATACTTCTGAGGGAAGGAAAAATGAGAACATGAAACAATGTTTTTTTAAAAAGTAGTATTCTATAGGTTTAAGTTTCTCCTCCAAACATCTTGGATTTAAGGACTTTCCAGATTTGCTCTCTTTGAGAAAGTCCAGGAAGAGAAATTTCTCAAGGTTGCCCTCAACAGCCTAGTAAATTCTGTGCTGCCTAGTCCTGTCTCTAAAGAGATCGTGTACATATTTGGAGATATTCCAGTCCCATTTTAAGGATTTTTAGAAATACCAGTTGTGCAGTTACTCAGGCTTGCATAGAAACCAGTTCTTATAATTAAGCATAGAGGGCTTGTGGTATCCACTGACTTTGTAGCAACAATCCTGCTTCTGCAGTGTAGCCAATTATGTGGTCATATTCTTATTAGTCCTTTGTCCATATATTACAAATAAATGCCACATATCAACCGGATTCACCAATGAGCATCCTTAATTTCCAAAAGCAAATTCGCTGGCAATTCTAATGTTTTTTCCTATGGGAGTAAGTCACATAGAGTGACTGCATCCAGGCTCTGTGTCCTCCCAACAGCCAACCAAGCCCCAAATATGCAGGAATGCTAGGAGTTTAGGGAAAGCAGGCCATATTGGATCCACTCTTCTCTTTCATTAACTTTGGGATTATCTTCATGAGTGGCATTGGTTTAATGCTTTCTATGGAGAAGAAGAGGTGGCAGCATTAAGTCCCAGAACTGCATCTTTCCAGAATTTCATTTAAAATTGAGTACTTTGCTGTTAGTTTCTCCTAGTGCTTTACATGGGGACTGCACAAACTAAAGTAGTATAAGTACAGTAGGAGAGAAACAACACAGAAGAGAACCTCTCCAAGATGCACAGTGTACACCTTATTTACTATTAAAGTTAGTTCTCCTGCAGCAAAATTGTCATCAGGTAAAGAATAGCATGTGCTTATGTTTACAAAGTTATATATGTCACCTAAAAAAATCATTAGCGGAAGGTTCCTGTGTTTTTGCAGTTTCCCAGAGGAATGCAAGTACGTTGCACAGACTCCAACTCTGCTTTTAATGAGTCTGCCAGAAGCCATTTCTTACAGTATTTACCATCATTTCTTTCAAGAATAATTCAAATGTATGTTGGGAAGTGGAGGTCAGAAAGTTGAAGCCGAAGGGACAAACCTTATACTTGTGATTAATTCCTGACAGTAATCGGTGCAATTATTTTGAATTATTCCAAGTGAAACAAAAGACTAAGGATCAAATTGAGCCCCAAACATGCTTTTGGGCTGCTGACTGACTTCAGTGGGAGGTATATGCATGTATCAGAGGACAGAACCAGTCTCTTAGGGAGTGCCCTATCTGACAGAAAGGGTAATTCTTTTCACTGGTGACAATGACAGGGAAATGTTGTCACTCTCTCAACCAAACAAAAATAAAAATCAATATACTGTATTACAAGTTGCATATAAATATATATCTATTTATAAATATGCTCAGCACATACCATCTTAAAGGTGTGTGACCCTCACAACAAAATAATCTCTACTGCACTGAAAAGAAAAATACCACAAATACAAGAGTAAATTGGCTTCCAGTATGTTTCAGTAATGTTATTCACTGATCATCAATGTTCATCTTTAATAGATACAAATATATTTATAGCTCAGCAACTCTTTTACAATGTATTATGTACAATATTTGATTTCTACATAAAAACAGAGTTTATTATTGTTACAATATCTTGCATTCATATTTAGCACTAACCATCCTAGGATCTCAAATTGCATTGTAAGCATTAACTAATTAATCCTCACAATACCTTTCAAGGTACTAAGTGATTATACACTTTAATACAAGGTTAAATTAGGGATGACATTTCATTTTGCAGATGCTTTCATCTTCTACCAATGCCTTTTCAGGCAGTTCCATAATATTTTAGTATTTCTGCAAGTTGCAGGTAGGAATCTCTCCAAGAGACTGTAGGTAGAGACTAATAAGTGAAAGTGGCATCTATCTCCCCATCCATTACAATTTTTAAAAAGAATTTTCACACACAATCTTGTGGGTTTGAAGTAGATATTGTATTAAAAAAAATCTTGCACCTTGATCCTGAACATTAAATAATACTAACATCCAGTCACTATTCAAAGCAAAAGCATATTTCTATCACCTTTTGGTCCCAAACAGGTCATAGAGTGACTGTGAGTTGGTAAATAATATAGTGATACAATTTGTTAATCCAGTCAACTTCTGAAGACCAAAGCAATCAAACATACCATGAGTGGGTGTCTTTTCTCTTCTCCGAACTCCTGTGGTTCTGCCTCTCTCATACTCAGAGCCCATTGGATGGCCCTCATCTTCAATTAATGTGTAATACTTTCCACTTTCATGCTCCAGAAAGTAGCTAGGTGACTCGGAGCCTTTCATTCCAGACTTTCCATATTTGCTGATGTCATCACAAGACATTATTCCAATTTCATCCCTAAAGATATTGACATAAAAATAATCCAAAGAGATATAGGGAAAAGGATCATTGAATGATGAAGACCTAAAGTGGACCTACCACTTCCCACTCTGTTCTAAACAATGGTGCGTCGTTATTAGGATATAATTTATTATGTGAAAGAGAAATTTGATATTTTGCACTATTTGGCAGCAACTGAAAAAGAAAGTGAATGTACCTGCAGCCAAAATAGAAAGCAGTGCTGAGCATTTTTTTCCAATTTTCTTTAAAATAATTAGCTGAAATGAATTATTTTGCTTTCAGTGTTTAGCAGACTTACGGGACAAGTAGTACTCACTTTTACAAAACATAGTATAGGCATTGACTATAATCATAAAAGAAAAAACACTGTTTCCAATATAAATTCCTAATGTGCTGATCATCAAAGACTCTGTGCTCAAATTTTACACCAAGTTAAAGAGGCAACAAATCTCAACATTGTCACTGTGGAATAAGAATGGTTTTTTACCCTGCATTAACTGTGTTTCTCCAAGATCTTGCAGTCTGTGTGAATCCCACTAAAGATCTGCAGGTGCCTCGAAGACCCAAGATCAAATTCTTTTGAACAGCAGGGTCTGTTGTGGCCATATGTGCAACGTGTGCATCCTTACGCTCATATGCGAGGGCATAAAGAGTGGAGTGATGCAACCCTTCCTCAGGTCCCTCACAATTCCTGTGACAGCTGAGGATTCAGAGAGTGGGGATGGAGGTGGGTCAAGGGATTCATGCAAGACATCATCTTGGATAACTACTATTACTGTAGGGTAAGTAATAGTTCTTTCTTCTTCAAGTATATATCAGTGTGGATCCTACTGTAGGTGACTGGCAAGTAGTGTCCCCTCTGGATGATGGGTGAGGAGTTTCAGCTGCATTAGTCAAACAGATATTGTAGTACCATCCTCCTGAACTTGGCATCTACCCTGGTGGTAAGTCCACTGCATAGTGCAGTGGTCCCTGAACTGGGGAGCACAGAGGAATGTTTTGGGCTGGGTGCAGTGGGGTTCTGTTGATGTAAGCCTCTGAAAACACCTAGCATATGTAACATCTGTAGATACCAAGGTTGCAGAGTGGCCTATGAGTCTTTTAGCGAATGGAATGTTCCATGAGTTCTGCTACTAAAGAACTCCATCCTTCAAAAGGCACGTCCTGTATGGTGACACGTGAGGGCTGAGTGGTGAGGATCTGCCACAGCCCTTTTGCCAGCTTGAGTGTGCCCTACTTTACTGAGAGGACAAATCAGGTTGGGGTTGTGGAGATCAGTACACTAAAGAGCTTGTGAGATCTTTCTTGGATCACCTTGGTTTCAGTGGCCTGGGTCTCCACAATCTGCAACAGGAAGGCATGGAAAGCCTTAAAGTTGCTGTCAGTGTTGGAGCCATGACTTCATTTGGTGATGATCATGATTCCTGAGATTCAGACAAAGATTAATGCTGTCCCTCCACTACCACCTGCTTCTAGATGCTGACATCTGGCTCTAGTGTGGGTGGCCTGGCTATTGATGCTGGGAAGTGGGATGTCCCCCACTTCTTGATGTATGCAAAGGTGGGGAGGATCTGTTCTGGAACATATATTATGCTGGTCCCCAATATGGCCAATATGACTGAAGTGGCATGCTGTAAGTGTATTTGCCCGGTTGAGGTTGGCTGGCCCAGTGCCATTCACATTTTGCCTAAGATGGGTCCCAGAATGGATGGCTTCCAGAAGCCTCCTTGAGATCACTCTCCAATGACAGCATAGAGGGATCTTTACTTGACACCAACAAGAACAAGTAGATTAGGGAGGGGGAGGAAGAGTAAGTTTCCTCAACTGGTATAGCCATAGAGGGGAGTGGTCCCATTGCCAGGTGGTGCTGGTGCTAGCTGCTGTTCTGGTATGATAGATGTCCCTGGTTCCTCTGTTGAGGTACAGCTCAAACTGTTGACAGGCTCAGCAGTGAGGTCAGTACCAGATCTTTTTTCCTGCATGGTTGGCTTCCCTCTTCTGACTCATAAGAGATCGAGCCTTTGTCTTTGCAGGAGTGGCATTTAGAATCCTTGTTGAGTAGTCCTGTGTGGTGCTTGGAGCCATGTTTATGCTTCATCTGGCCTTGCCTCTCAGAGTCACCCTACACTGTCAGGGGTGCAGCCGCTGGACCTGTTGGGGTCTGTGCCAAGGATGCTGGTGCCAAGATTGTTGGGGTTGAAGTTGTCAGTGCTGAGGTTATTGATGCTGATGTTGTTGGTACTTTCTTCTTCCTGGACTCTGGGGTGTGGGGTCTTCCAAAGGACAACTGGTCAATGATGATTTTTTTTCTTCATTCTGGCTGTTAGTGTTTCCTCAGAGTTAGAACAGGTATAACTTGAGCTGAGAATCCCTGGACTTTGAGTCCTTGAGGAGATTTGTTTGGGAGGTGGCTCTCTCCCAAGCAGAAAAAGCATTACCTATATCTGTCTCTGAGATGAATGAGGCTGTCACAGGATGGGTAGGGATTGAACCTTGCCAGCTTAGGCTATGTCTACACTGCAAGCCAGGGGTATGTTTCCCTTGCTTGTGTTCATACACTCATGCTAGCTCTCTTTGATCTAGCATGAGTATAAACAGAAGCATAACTACGGTAGCACGGGTAGTGGTAGTGGAGGCCCAGCTGAGCCGTATGGAGTACAAACCCACAGGAAACTGGTGGGTATGTACTTGACACAGCTCAGCCCTGCCTCCTCTGCTGACACCTGTGGTACCACAGCTACACTGCTATTTATACTCATGCCGGTATGATGAGAGGAACCACAACCCTAGCTTGTTGTGTAGACATAGACTTAGAGTCTGCCATGAGACATGGTAGTTGGTGAGAAGTGCCTCAGCCTGTTGTCTAAGGGCTTGCTGATGAGTTTTCTTTTTTTCTTTCTTTCTTTTAAATGTCCAATTGGGAAGGGTTGAGAATATGAAGTTCTTCACAGTTTTCGGTCGTGGCTGCTCTGCCCATTAAGCCCTCTCATGGAAGAGCAAGGAGGCACAGGGCACATGTGAGACCGGGACAGACACTGCTATTCAAAAGATACCAATTTCTACATGCATGTGTGCTTGCAGTGGGATTCTTACTGACACATACCCTAAAACTCTTGTCCCAGTGGAGGGAGAGGGGCTTGGAGAAAGGGAATTGGTCTCTGGATTTCATGTTGAGGTTTTTGAAAAGTCAAAAACCTCAATTCACAACTCAACTGAAACGACTAGGTTTCACCTTGTGTCAGGTTAAAAGTGCACAAAGCTACTGAGTCTTGCAAAACTTTCTCCCAAAATCAAGCCTGGCCCTGCTCAATTCCAAATGGACCACCTCCTCACAACACAGGTTTGTCATGTCCACTCCACACCCTCCAACAACTTCAGAATTCACTTAACTCTCTCACGCTTCTCACTCTTCTGACCTGGCTGGGTGACCTACTCCTAATATTTTATCCTCAGGGAGAGCATCAAAGTAAAGCTTTGGTTCTTACAATCCATAGGAAACCTCTGCAGAACATCAGATTTCCTGCCCAGTGCAATTCAGAAACAGTGGGATCCTAAACACTGAAAGTTTATCTTTCTGCTAATGACTGAGCTGGCTTCTAACTCATTCTAGAGCTGAGAGATGCCTTAGAAGGCACTGGTACTATCTGAAGATATTTCCTTTGGAGGGGGAAACGGAGATTTCCCATCCTGGTTCCCTGGAAACAAAAGATGAGGAATCATACCAGCTGGTCATCCCTGAAAAGTCAGAAAGGAATTATCTGGCTGCCTCCTTAAAGGTGGCAGACAGGGGTAGAGGGACTACTACATCACTACTAGAAGTGCAAGCCTCTGAATAAGATAGAAGTAGTCTCACCAAAGTCAATGAGACTTCTCACATGATTAAAGTTATGCACCTGCTCAAGTGCTTTGCTGAATCATGGTCTAAAACAGGTTTTAGTGTCATCTCACAGTCAGCTGTTTAAGTGGAAACAAAAGGTGTTATGACATTATTAAAAACAAAATTCACTCAGAATTTTGGTATCCTGGCTAACATATTCCTTCCTCTTAATTCCACTGCACATTAACTGGCAATCCAGAATAGTGCTAGACTTTCATGGCTGCATAGAGGATGATAGTTATGACATTTTCTACACATAGCCACTCTGTTACAGCTTTTTATTTTAATTAAATGCCTTGTACAACATCTTGAAATATTTGATTATACATAAAGTGGAAGGGAAGAATAAATTGTTTCTGTTTTCAAGTCTGACGCAATTAACCTGTAAAATATTGCCTGAATATGCTCAAATTCATTGGGAGATTTACCTTGGGCCATAAAGTCCTGCCATGGGAGAGAGGATGAAAATGTCCTGAAGAGCAGAGCTGTCAATTTTTGTGGACATGCCCATTGTGCTGGTTGGTGTTGTGGAGCTGCTTGTTGGACTGGTTGGAATCACAGGCTGCGAAAGAGAAACAAACAAATTAAAAATGAAACTCACCATTTCCACGCTACATTTCAGCAGTGCTCTAACAAAGCCGAACTGTGTTTTCCTAGCGGGATTGCCATTCTCTTGGCTGCTCTCTTTTTTAGATTAGCCATAATTACAGCTTCTTGCAAAGGGGATGTTTATTGAAATTTCCTCCTGCTTTTGTAAGCATTGCAAGGCCAAAGTTATTTGGTGGAAGAGACTGAACTAAAGCAAACATATCTGTATTAGTGTTAAAGATGTCATATGGAAAGTTTTAAAAATCATAACTCAATAAAGTATGATCTTTAAACTTCAAAACAATAAGCAACAGATTAGAGAATACTTAGAACACTGGGGTATGTTAAACCCACCCGATGCTGGACTGCAGGCAGGGCCGGCTCCAGGCACCAGCCGAGCAAGATCGTGCTTGGGGCGGCAGATTTCAAAGGGCGGCATTCCATCTAATCCTTTTTTTTGTTTTTTTGTTTTTTGTTTTGTTTTGTTTTGTGCTTCACCGCTTTGGCCGCCCCTGCAGGTTTTATCTTTTTGGTTTACTGCTCTCGCCGCCCTGTAGGGGGCGGAGGAGGGGAGCGCCCTGCATCAAGCCCGGTAGGGCAGCCCGCGTGCTTCCCTGCCTGCCGAACGGAGCGGCGCGGAGCCCTCCCAGCAGGCGGCGCAGTGGGAGGGGCTGTGTGGCAAGCGCCCCGCTTAAGGAAGCCCTGGCCGCCCCGCTTCTCTCTCCCCCCCCCGCTAGTCGGGGTGCGCACTCCGCTGCCCGGGGTCTGCAGGGCCGGGAGTCCCCGCCCCGCGGGTATTTTTTGTTTGTTTTTATTTTTTCTTTCCTTCGCCGCTCTGGCAGGCGGGCCAGTTTGTCGTCCCCCCCACCCGCCGCTCTGGCCAGGGGCAGGTTTGTTTCCTGGGCCCCCACTTTTGCGGCTCTGGCCGGTTTGTTGTCTCCCCCCCCCTTTGCTGCTCCAGCCAGGGGCAGGTTTGTTCCCCCACCCTTTGCTGCTCCGGCTGGCCGGTTTGTCCCCCCCGCCTCTTTGCTGCTCCGGCCGGCTGGTTTGTTCTCCCCACCCCCCCTTCGCCGCTCCGGCCGGCGGGCCCGTTTGTCGCCCCCCCCCCCCCCCCCCCCTGCTGCTCCGGCCGGCCGGGCGTTTTTTGCTTTGGGCAGCAAAAAAGCCAGAGCCGGCCCTGACTGCAGGATAGCCATTATTAAAATGAAAGTAAAGTTGCACATGGTTTATGTTCTCCAACTGACCCCTTCCCCACTACTGATTAGGGTGGCTACTGGTGTATGCCCAGAACACTGGACATTCTGGTACTTCTGAAAACGGCATCGGCCCTCCCCTGTCTTCATGACCCCGCCCTTGCTGTCATGATCTTGCACGCATGGTTCGTGCAAGGTCACACCAGTGGCGTGGTCTTCAAAATGGCAGCCTCCATCCTATGAGGCAATATCAGACAAAACCAAATCCAGTTTTATACCAGTACTGGACAGGGGACAAACCTTGGGGAAAAAAACAGGACAGTCCGGCTTAGAACTGGAGGAATGGCCTGCCTATTACTAATTCAAGCAGATATTTCTGCACTTTCAATAGCTCTCCTCTCTATTCCTGTGGGAACACAACACCCATAAGTTTAATGTATAGTATTTATTCCCTGCTAAAAGGTGTGGAGTTGCTCCAAAAATTGGGATTGTCAATGGGAATGGAATTAATTATATACAGAAGCTAGTTGTTTCCAAATAGGATTTTCTCTTGGCTGTATCTGAAGAGGGAATTTCTATAGTGTATCCCAGGCTTTAATTGTATTTAATTATAGAGTGTACAATACAGATGCTAAATGAAAGATTTCAGAACCATAATATTGGGGGAGGGGGAGAGAAGACTTCTTACTGCTCCTACCTCTCCCTTTGGGACATAACTACAGGATTCCTATGAAAACCGGATCTTGGGCCCATCCACTCCAGCTGCTGCTTATTCCTCATCTGAAAGCATAATCCTGTTTGTGACATTTGTGGCTCCATACCAACTGATTATGAGGCCACAATTAATGAAATATAAATTAATCTGAGGAATAAGCAGAAACATCACCAGCACACATCTTATTTAAAAAAAAAAAGTGAAGTTCATCCCTGGTTGGAAGAATAGTACCACATAATGTTCTGAATGGGGTCTCTGTGGGAGGTCAACTGTCTGCATGCCCATATAGGGCACTGCACATGTCCTACATGACACAGAAATGGGCTCAGCACCACCCATGCATAGACTGATGCACAGAGGCCATTTAGCAGTCCCAGGGCATTTCAAGATGAGCCACAGAAGGATCCCTGGATTTGTGTTTATGTTGATCCAGTGGCCTCTGTATCCCATGCAATTGGCATGGAAGGTCTACAGCTGTTAGTCCAACCTAAGGGCTGGGGAGATGGATTACACCTTCCTTACCGCTCTTCACTATGTTTGCATAGAGCCCAGACACTTGGGCTCTAGGTGGATGGAATCAATTTCATCCAAAGGTACTGTTTTCATGCAAATGTTTTTATTACAATATAAAAAGGGAAGAGAAATACAGACATTATATAGATCTGTAAACTATTTAGATGTGTCACTACACAGAACTTTTCAGAGAGGACTTTAGGGCTCAGGAGATTGGTAATGGAATACACACCAGTCACTTATGTGGTCATTCATTAGTTCACAGTGAGGTTTTTACCTACGAAAGCTTAAGCCCAAATAAATCTGTTAGTCTTTAAGGTGCCACCAGACTCCTTGTTGTTTTTGTAGATTCAGACTAACATGGCTACCCCCTGATACCAGATCACTAGTGATTGTTGGTTACTGCTAGCAGATTGCTGCTTTGAGTAATCTGTTGATTGTTTCACTCCAGTTGCTAGTGGACAGATGTGTGCATAACTAAAACCACCATCATAATTGATAATTTCTCTGCCAAAAAGGTTTAAGAGTTCAGTAGCCTGGACACTGAACTACTCTCTCAACCCTAAAAGAATGGCCCCTCCAGCTTAGTGTTCAGGAATACTGGCGGTATACTCTAGAAAACTCTGACTATGATTGTTCATATTAGTCTTTATGTAGACAGACAGAGGATGTCAGCATTCTTCTTGTCAGTTATCTCTCCAAAAGTTAATTTAGAGCAATGCTGGAGATAGGAGGGGAATTAAAAAAAATTAATGTGGAACCTGCAGTCTTTAAAATTGTAATTTTGTCTAGAAGTGTTTTTTCTGTTTCTAATTTTAGCTTTTCTAGGACTATGCTATTTTTTTTGTTTATTAATACTTTTTATTATTTTTTTAGGCTTAGGACATCTGGCTACTTACACTACTTGCCCCTGTTTCACAGACACTGATAATAGATGATGCAAAATGGTTTAACACAGGCAAAAATGTAACATGAAGCTAGCAAACACAGTAAACTACAAAGCTCTTGTCTAATACAATTTGACTCATATTAGAACATGGAAATATAGGAATGAACAAACAATATGATGTTAAATAATGGGCTGACCATATTACAAACGTCTATGCAAAGGTCCCACTCATAGCTGTGACATTATTCAGCTGATGTTGTGATATAAATCACTATTTGAGAAACCAAGCTAGATTTTTTATTCACAATATGAAAAGGTACAGGTTACTACGAGTCACAGTAATCAGCAATGACTTGTCTTCTCACATCTGCTTTGGGAGCCACGCCCTGCAATAATATTACTAACAGGATGGTATGATTACAAGTAGTTAAAATGAGCTAATCATGCTGAATTGAGATATTATGTTAATGTCCTAACTTTACATGACACCTGCAGTAGAAGCATCAAAGACTGACCCATTGATACTCTGTGGGTGTTGCTATAGGTAATTAATTAATAAAAAAGGAAGAAAGAAGGGCTATGGAAAAGGTAAATATTATATAAATGAATTTTAAAGTATAAAAAGTTAAGGACATATTTTAATCAAACAATTTCTGGCTCCTAGATATAAGGATACATTTTCATTGTAACTGTGTTTTTCATAGATGCAATACAGTATGTCTATCTATAGACCATTGTATATGTATTTAGGGCATGGATAAATATCATATATTTAGGCAGGTTGTATAGATTATTTATGTGGAAGCCTGCAGTTTGAAGACACACAAATGTGTTTAAATATATGCAGCTAGTTTTCTAGCAGGCTAGAAGGAAAACCAAGTGAATCTAGGAATCAGGTGGGAATACCGGAATTCTCTAGAACCACATCTTTAAATCCTGACTAAGCTCTTAGGCTTTCAGACATAGATAATTTGAATACCATGCAGTTTCATTTGTGGGAGTATTTTCAATGATATGCTAAAAATTCCATCCCCCATTAGTAATCATAAAAGATCCTATATAGGGTGACCAGATGTCCCAATTTTATAGGGACAGTCCCGATATTTGGGTCTTTTTCTCATATAGGCTCCTATTACTCCCCACCCCCATTCCAATTTTTCACACTTGCTGTCTGGTCACCCTAATCCTATAACACTTTTCACAAGAGTGAGGATTTCACCCAGTGTCCTTAGCCAAAAATGTCCCCCCCACACATCCCAACTGCTGTGCAGCCTAAAACACACACTGCAAACACTACCAGATTTTATGTTTACTACGCCACCATTATTTCAATGGCTTTGTTTGTACACACTATGATCAGTAATTCTTGCAGGATTGTGAAACATGTTACGATCCATCAAGATGAAAGGTGATAAACAAGGGTCCTAATTTTCTGTGATAAAAAAACCCCCAAAATTCTCTGATAAAAAAACAAAAAAATCCATGTTTTTCCATGATTAAAATGTAATGCTGAACTTTAGTTTCTCTAGCCATAATATATATAGGTATCAGTTGAACACAATGTTTTATTGATATACAGTAGAACATTTATCAGGGTCTCCATTATCCAGCTCTTTGTACTAACTGAACCACCAGTCACCCAGGGCTGACAGTAGCAGAAGTTG